CCACCCAGGCACGGGCCTGCGGGGCCAGCTCGGCGGCGAGGGCACGGGCCCAGACCGCGAACTTCAAGGCCCCCCAGGCACGGGCCTGCGGGGCCGTCCTGACGGCGAGGGCACGGGCCCCGGCCGCGAGGCAGTGGCGGCGAGGGCACGGGCCCCGTCCGCGCACCCAGTGGTCACCCAGGCACGGGCCTGCGGGGCCAGTTCGGCGGCGAGGGCAGGGGCCCCGACCGCAAGCAGAGGCGGCGAGGGCACGGGCCCCGACCGCCGCGCACCCAGAGGCCACCCAGGCACGGGCCTGCGGGGCTAGCTCGGCGGCGAGGGCACGGGCCCCGACCGCGAACTTAATGGCCACCCAGGCACGGGCCTGCGGGGCCAGCACGGCGGCGAGGGCACTGGCCCCGTCAGCGAACAGAGGACTGGACCCGCCCAGGCGCGGGCCCAATTGGCACGGGCCAGGAAGAAAACAACGCTTCAGATGCAAGCTCGCCCCCCCTGCACCCCCCCCCGCCTAAACTGAATATGTTTCCGTTGCCTTCGTTGATCCAGGGCTCTCGTGCCCTCCCTTGCCAACCCTCACCTCCACGCAGCACAGTTGCGGCGACGCGCGTGCCCTGGTCTGGCATTGATAATTTGCCTTCCCATCGTGCGACCAGCGCGTGGACGTCGACAGGCTTCGGCAGGTGGTAGTGGGGATTCCCCTTGTGGCCTCAAGCGCTTCAAGAAATAAGACAAGTACGCTTGGGCTGGCATTCTCCATGCTGTGGCCACAGGTAGCAGTTGGATTAGGAGCCGCATGCAGGAGTGCAACTTGTCGCAGGACAGCACCTGCCGACGCTGCGGAGATCTTTTCGAGTCAGATGTGCACAGGGCTTGGTGTTGTCCTAAGAATGCAGTCGTGAGGTCTCGGACTTTGTGGTCAGAAGAGCCAAAGCGGACGCAGAGAACAATCCCGGTTTTTGGATCCGAGGGCTGACGCCCCAGGAGCGCGCCAGTCTGCGAAAAGAGGCGAAGCACTTAGCTTAGCCGAGTTCGTTCGAGCGGTCTTCCCATGTGCCTCAGCGCATTTTGTCACGGACTCGTCGTGTGTAGTCAACAATTTCGCCAAGTTGAGAGCGGGGGTCCAGCCAGAGTCTCACCCAGACGTTTGGCATCAGCTGCGAGACCTTCTCAGGGCCCACCCCGAACGAGGCTTGGTCCTCGTCGAGGTAGAGAGTCACCAGGATGCCCGACAGATAGCGACCGGAGGGTCGGACAAGCTGCACTTTTTAATCAATGCGGTGGCCGACAGCATTGCCAGTTCGTGGGCTGAGCACCTGCGAGCGCCAGAGAAGGATCGAGACAGCCGATCTTTTGCGCAGGCCATTGCGTTCCAGGTTAGGGATCACCTCGGACATTCGTTGTTGGCCTCCATAGAAGCTGATGGGGACAGGGCCCCCCGCCAGAAAGATGTGCAGCGTCACTTTCGCGAGTTCAAGACCCAGTTGGATATTGCAGCTCACGCGCCTGAGGAATGCCAGAAATCGATGCTCCAATGTAAAGTCTGTGGAGGCTCTGCCCTGCGTTCCTTGGCTAAGCAGTTTCTTAGCACCCCGTGCCACCCTGGGCATTTCAAAGGTGTCGCGATGATCCCGCAGGGTGATACAGCGAATGGGCAGGCCCTCCATCCGTCCCACATGTTAGGGCACAGTCGGACATGGGGCACCACGGTATGTTTCTTGTGCGGTTTCATCGCAGCGATGGATGTGCGGAGCTTGAAGCATCCGCGCAAGGGTCACTTGAGTGACTACGGAGAGCGCATGCTCAAGAAGGCTGCTAGGGTGCAGCCCCCAGGCCGCAGTAACTGGGCCCGCCAGAACCAGGTCATCAAGACTAGGCGGCGGAAGTGAGTGCATAGTTTGGCATGGCCAGGAGAGAATGTACAAAAAACATGGGCCTTGTGGCCCGATGTGGCTGATCTTGAGCTCTATGCCTCACGGCTCAAGAAGGGGGCCTGATCCCCCTCCCCCATGGGAGGCCGAACGTACGTATATTGGGAGCCTCTTGGAGCGCTCGCGGGGGCCTCGCGGGCTGCATTGGGGCCCTCTCGGGTTCCTCTGGGGCTCTCTAGGGCCTCGGCCTCAGGGGCCCATCTATCCAGCAGGCGCATAATCATTGGTCCCTCCCAGGAGAGCCTGGCAGCCACGGGGCGGTTCTTCCGCGCCGTTTCCTCCCCGCGCCCAGGTGCCCTCTACCTCTCCCGGCGGGCCCACTGGGCTTGCTTGGGTCGCCATCCTGCACCTGGTGCCTCCAACTAACTCCACGTTGGCGGCTCGCCACCCTCCTCCTGGTCGATTGCCCTCGGGGCCCTGTCTTGGGCGTCGTCTCCGACGGCCGTTACGCCCGCCGCCCGATCCACGCCGTTGCGGCTGTCTGCTGCACTGGGGTGGAACGGGCTGTGGCCCTCTACCCCTCGCTGCGGGTCGAGCTCGACGGTCTTATCCTGGCCACTCCGCCCGGCTCGTGGCTGACTGCGGCACCCAATTACTCCTCCGCTGGGCGCCCCCATGTGGCTGCACGGCGGCATGTCTCAGGCTGCGCCATGTCCTGCCGCCCTGCGACTGTTGGCCGCAGCGCAGCAGTGCATCGGCAAGTCCCGGGCTGCACCTCTCAAGTTCATCCTTCGGCTGTTAGCCGCACCCCATCTGCGCGCCTAGTGGTCTCAGGCGAAACCTTCTCCTATGTACTCGCGACCGCCAGCCGCGCCCCCTCTACGCAGCGGCCAGTCCCAGGCGGGGCCCCTTCTCCCTTTTCAGCGGCTGTCAGCTGCGCCCCAGCGGCGCTTCGTCACATCTTGCGCTGTACCTCCCATCCTGCGGCTGTTAGCCGCACCCCATCGTGCGTTGTCCGGTCTCAGGCGAAACCATATTCTGCGCCCCTGCGGCTGTCAGCCGAACCCCTGCAGCGAGATCCGGGCTTGGCTTTCTCAGGCGAGCCCTTCTCCAACATTCATCGGCTGCGTGCCGCACCCCAGCTGTGCATCGTCAAACCTCAGGCGGAACCTCCCCACCATCCTGCGGCTGTCAGCCGTGCCCCATACGGTCTACAGACGTTCCATTTACCATCCAGCAGCTGTCAGCCGCTCTCCAGTGCGCGGCAGGTCTCAGGCCTTATTATTCCCCCCTTTTCCCGCGCCGTCAGCCGCGCCCCTGCGGCTGTTAGCCGCGAGCGGCAGGTCGGTCCTGGCCCCGCCGAGGAGGTTCGAGCGCAAGGACCGGATCTGCTTCACCTCATCGGCGCTGCGGCTGTCAGCTGCTCCCCTGCAGTGCAGTAGGATGTCTCGGGCGAAGCCATTCCCCACCATCCTGCGGCCGTTAGCTGCACCCTACCAGAGGGCCAGCATGTCTCAGGCGAAGCGATCCCCAAACCTTCTGCGGCTGTCAGCTGCACTCCAGCCGTGCCTCAGGATGTCTCAGGTGTAACCATTTCCAATCACCCTGCGGCTGTCAGCTGCACCCGCGCTGGGCACCGGCATGTCTCAGGCGAAACAGTTCCCCTTCTGCAGCCGCGGCTATTAGCTGCACCCCCAGGGCCGGGGCTGGTCACAGGCGACGCTGGCGCGGGCGCCCATTTTCCTGCGGTTGTCAGCCGCCTCACCCCTGAAGCTACTCGAGCTCCCAGCGGCTGTCAGCTGCCTTTCTCGGTCGGGCGCTTCCGTGCCGCGTGCCCCCCCCGGGGCACGCGGGGCGGTAGGTCCCCCTCGCTCGCTCGGCCCCGCGCTGGCACTGGAGACGGCCGTGGGTACTGCCATTCGATCTTCAGGGCCCTCGGGCTTCCACTTGCTCGTGCCGTTGTTGGCCGCTCCTTGGCTCTGCGGTCGTCTGGTCATTACGAGGCATCGGCTTCCGTTGATTGGATTGGATGTGAGGTTCATTTGTCGCTTACTTACGGCAGGTACATGGAGTGCAGCAGGGTCAAGGTGCTCCCATACGTGTTCCACTTCAGAGCTGCGGCTTTACGTTTCTTCTTCCCGCTCCCTCGGTTCCCCTCTCGTCGCCGTTATTTTCGTTCTGCCGTTTTTCTTCTCTTCGCGTTTTCTTTCGTTTTTATTCCTTCGCCGTTTCGCCCCCTCTCGCTTTGCTCGCGGTGCCGCGTGGCCGGTTTGGCGTGGCTGTCTCTCGCTTGTCTGCCCGACTTTGCGACGCCTCGCGGGTGTCCGCTTGCGGTCGCGATCAAAGAAAGTAACCCCACAACCCGAAGCGATGCCCGGGCGCGTTGCGTTGATGAGAGACGTTGAATAGCATGCGGTGGAATGAAGGGTTGGGGGACGCCGTCATGTCCCAAGAGGGGGGGATGGAGGAGGAATTGGAAGAGTATGCCGAGGAGGGGGATGGGGAAGGGGAAGGGCGGAAGAGGGGAACTGGGGGGCCATCTAGGCTCGCAATTTTCGAACCTTCATCATCATCAGCATCATCATCACCATCATCATCATCATCATCATCATCATCATCATCATCATCATTTGCATCGTAAGCATCATCATCCTCATCCTCATCCTCATTAGCATCGTCATGAGCATCAGCAGTCTCATCATCATTATCAGCACCATCGTCTTCACGTCCTTACCGTCGTCATTCTCATTATCAACATCACCATCATCTGCATCATAATCAGCATTCTTATCGTCATCATCAGCATCGTCTGCATCATCTGCATTCCGCTGTTCGTCAGCATCCCCCCAATCATTTACTTTCATCTGATTTCTCCCATCCCTATTTCATCGCATTCTTATTATTCATATTCGTCGCGCCGCGCCGAGTATTCGGCTCGAGTCAGCTTACACTGGGAAACCTAAAAAGAGTACGACAGCCGACGCGGCGAAGCTAGAGAAAAGCGCAGATTACAAGGCAAAGCGACGGCTTGAGCAATTGAGCAGGGCAATCTAGGACAAAATTGGGAAGACCTGTGATTGTCGGTGCCTTTTATGGTGCAGACGTTCCAAAATTGAAATCCTTGTGTTCCGTAGCCGTTCTGGCTCAAGCAGCGGATTGCTAATGGCCCCAGGGCCAGTCTCAGGAGCAGAGGCTAGCTAACCACCTCTCTCTCTTCCCTCCCTCGCTCTCTCTGCCTCCCTGTTTGGCTGCGTGGCCATGTTGCCCGTGCCGGGTAGCCTCGTAATGCATTTGGACGTGCGATGCCACCGCTGGAGCATGCCGGTGTCCATCGCGATCTTCGGAGGCTTGGCGATTTTCTTGACCGCCTGCCTGTCGATGATGGTTTCAAACACTTGCTTCTTAGGCGTGCTGATCATGACCCTGGTCTGCCCGTTGACGGGCCATGCGGGCGCCAGGGCCGCTACTTCGAACACCCCCCTCTACATGTCCATCGCGTGGTCCATGATGCTGAACTGCTTTCTGGTGTCCTTTGATCGGGCTGACGAGCCAGAGACGTATACCGCATCGGTCATGATGGTTTTCGTCTTCACGGTGGTCGTCGACGCGGGGATCCTGCACGTGCACAACCTTTACACCCGAGGCCGAGCGCACGTGCACGGCAGCGTCCCCCGCGCGGTGAGCTCCGCCGACGTCGTGGCCGAGATGTTCGCGAGGGTGCCGGCCGTGCACCTGAAAGAGCAGTTCTCGGAGGAGCTGACGGCTTCGGCCAGCGTGTGCGTCATCTGCCTGGAGGACGTGGCCGAGCTCCCGGCGGACTGTGGCCGCGGCGCCCGCGAGAGCGGCGTCCTCGCCCTGCCCTGCGGGCACGCGTTTCACTCCGGCTGCCTCGCCCGGTGGATGCGCCACGACCGCAGCAGGTGCCCGACCTGCCGGGCCCCCTTGGGCCCGCCGACGAGGTGGCGGCTGCTGCTCCCGTCGGCCGAGGGCGCACGAGCCGGCGGGGAGCAGTGCGACGTGGAGGCCTGTCTGCACGTCTGAGCCGCCGCCGAGGCGGCCCCGGCCGGCGCCGCAGCTGCTCGCCGCCCCGCGGTCTGCTTCTGAGGCGCGTGCGCGCGCGAGGAGGTTCGATCGGATGAGGTAATAGTTGGCGAGCTGTTTCAAATCAGAGCTGCCCGAGAGCTCCATGCTTTTCACTGGCAGCGCTCCTGAAAGCAGGCCAGACCGCCATGGTCTGAGGCCTTTTTAGATGATTTTTGTTGGAGTGGTTCGCACTGTGGGCAGCCAACGCATGGTAGGGCATTCGCACAACATCATCGCCAGTTTGTAATTGCTATTTCGGTGCGCGCACTGCCATGTTCGCGGCGCTCTCTTTCAAAGAGGTTCACGTTGATAGTTTCAAGCAGGGCGGGAGCTGGGTGGCGTTTCGACGACTCCGTAGAGAGCAGAGGGATTGGGGGGAGAAGGGACCCAGTGGCGGCCTGCCAGACCGCCTCGGGCGGCCAGCGCCTAAATGCTGGCACGGCGGATCTTTCAAGGGTCGTGCTGTTGTACATAAAGAGTACACAGCAGCGGCGCCTGCTAAGCGGCGCTCAGGGGGGAGAGGGTGAGGAAGAGGTGGAGAGGGGGGGAGGGACCAGAGGTCTGGGGCAGGCGCAGCAGAGTCTGCTGCCCGATTCCACGGGCCCGTGGCCCCCCCGTGCCGACTATTGGCGGCACGGCATTGCCCTTTCTCTTTGAGTCTCGTGCCCGTTGTGGGCGGCACGCTGATACAAACCGATGGCTAAGTTTTTGATTGACAGCGAGGAGGAGGCAACTCCGCCAGGTATGTAGAACGACAGAGTTCGAGCTCTCTGCTGCTCTTGTAAAGGCGTCAACGGCGCCCCGTGGGCATTTCAAACGAGAGAAAGGAGCGCAAGGAGGGAGGACGTCCCGTGAAGCTCGATTCTGTGGGAGCCTCTATCTTCGATGGGGTTTGGTCTCGCCTCTGTCATCAATGATCCGGTGCTCGCCTCTGTGCGAGCCCTTGTTTCGGGCCGGGCGAAAGGGGGGGATTGGGAAAGGGGGGGTTACGAAAGTTGCTGCATGCAGCTGGTTTCGGCCTCAACGAGGGGCCCATTCCTCGATACATGGCCGCCTCCGGCGCCAGGAGGCGCCAGGAAAATCAGCTACGTGAGCTGATTCTCAAACCCCCCCTTTGCTATCCCCCCCTTTCGCCCGACCCGATTGTTGTCCTCGCCATCGTCGCGGGTGGTCCGACTCTTGGACGCTCGGCACGCTTGGGCGTGACGACGCCAGGGTGGGGTCGCCGAGGCTCGTGCCTGCTGCACCTCCATGGTGCAGCCAGTGTCGCAGCAGTTCGACTCTCGCCATCCTCGCTTGCGTCCCGTCTCGAGCAGCCAGAGGAGGGGGAGCAGGAATAGAATAAGGTGGATAAGAGATGAGGTAGGGCCGCATGTGCCATGCGCTGCAGGCGGTAGCCCGCACCGTGAGGCTCGCTTCGCTGTCTTCCCTGCTGTGAGAGTCTCGCATGTCGCTGGAGTTCCTGATCGCAGTCTGCTGCTGGGATGCGTAGCCTGCTGCCTCGGCTGCTACCGAGGGTTGCGGCCGGTTCACCCCATTCAGCTTCTTCTTTCCTCTCTCCTCTGACCCCGCTCCTTGCAGCGGGGGCTTTGCAGTGACGCCTGGCTAGACCTCGACCGGGCGCTGGGCAGAACAATTTCGAGTGCGTGGTTCACGTGTTCAGGCAGAGCGATTCATCCTTGTCTCGCCAGTGGCGCTGTCGCTGGTGCGTAATGATGGTGCTGCGTGTGGCCTAGCCGAACCTTCACTCAGCCCTGGTCCGAGTCTAACCCTGGGAGCAGGAACATAATTACGCTGAAGGGCGTGAGGGAGTCTTAACGATGAAGGTTCGGAGTCAGTCTGCAATGTGCAGCTGCTGCCACCATTTTTGCTGCTGTCTGTCATCCTCATCAGTTCCACCCTGAACTGACATGGCCACGTTGCCAAGTAGCTAGCGGCAGTGACATTCGAAGCGACTGACCATACTTTCGCGCCTGTCCTGTCTTTAATGTTATTGTTATGTTTCTTCTTAGTGCTGTGACAGGATCACGGCTTCTCTCTCTCTCTCTCTCTCTCTGCTTGCGGGCCGCCTTGCACAAAACAATGAAATCCTTGTGTAGCAGTCTTTACCAAAGGATTCCTTGTGTGGCGACCTTACGCAAGGATTTCAATTGAGGGGGATCTGCAGTGGCCTCCACTCTTACAATCCTTCTGTAACAGCCTTTACAAATTGAAGTGTTGACGCTTCGCGAATCCCCACCAGTGGCGCCGTCCGCCGTCAGCTCCACCCCCCTCAGCTTCGCAGCTGCTGTCTGAGTGGGCCGGCCGGCTTGCGCCTGTCTTAGCTAATTCGCCTAGTTCGCGTCCCGGACTTTGCTCTTGCCGCCTGACCGTCGTCTCGCGGCCGCGACCGAAACAGAATCACCACCAGCCCATCCAGAAACGATGCCCAGAGCTCTTGGAGCGTCTTGGGGGCCTCCTGGCGGTCCCAGACGCTTCTTAGAGCGTCTTGGGTGCCTCGGAGAGCTTCTTGGGGCCTCTTGGGGGTCTCTTGGGGGCCTCTTGGAGGCCTCTGGGGCGCCTGTTGGGGCCTCCTGGGGCCTCCTGGGCGCCTCTTGGGGCCCTCTTGAAGCGCTCTTGGGCGCCTTGGGAGCGCTCTTGGAGCCCTCTTGGGCCATCTTGGAGTCATCTTGAAGCCTCGGATGGCCATCGGGAGCGAAAAGGCGAGAAAGCGCCAAAGACTGATTTTCCTAAGTTTTGGAAGGATTTTGGCCTCTTCGGGGCCTCCTTGGGGAGCTCTTTGGCCACTTGGAGCCGTCCTGAAGCGGTCTTGGGGCCTCTTGGAGCATCGTGGGAGCCATCTTGCGGCATCTTGGGATATCTTGAACCATCTTGGAGGTCACCTTGGGCTCCCCCAGGCGCTCTTGGAGTCATCTGAAGCAGTGCCCCCCCCGGGAGGCCCCAATGTGGCCAAAACCTTAGTACAATCAATATGTTTGGCATCCTCGCCGAGGCCTCTTGGAGCGTCTTGGGTGCCTCTGGGGGGTCTCTTAGGGCCTCGTGGGGGTCTTTTGGGAGCCTCTTGGGGGCATCCTGGGGGCCTCTTGGGGGCTTCTTGGCCACCTCTTGGGGCCCTCTTGGGGCAACCTTGGGAGCCCTGGGGGCCATCTTTGGGCCATCTTGGGTGAGATCGATCACAGGAGGGGGGGTGTCTAATTAGAGCCCCCCCCTCAGGAGGCCAAAATGGGGCCAAAACCCTGGTAAAAACAAATGATGTTGGCTTCCTCGCCGAGGCCGTTTTGGACGCTCTGGCACCTCGCAGAACCCCTTGTCCAGGTCCAGAGGAAGGGGTAGGGGGAGCAACATCCACCGTTTCACGTTCTGGAATCACCTGAAACAGTTCCGGGGTGATTCTGGAAGCTTGTCACTGACCGCTTCAGGTTCCAGAATCACCTTAGAACCGTTCCGGGGTGAAAACCCATCTGGTGCCATTTGGAGCTCCTTACAGAAGGCCTTATTGAGCTCCTTATAGAAGGCCTCATTGAGCTCCTTACAGAAGGCCTTATTAAGCTCCTTACAGACGGCCTTCGTGAGTTCCTTACAGAAGGCTTGATTGAGTTCCTTCCAGAAGGCCTTATTGAGTTCCCTACCGAAGGCCTTATCGGGCTCCTTGCAGAAGGCCTTATTGGGCTCCTTATAGAAGGCCTTATTGAGCTCCTTGCAGAAGGCCTTATTGGGCTCCTTGACAGTAGGCCTCACTCGGCTCCTTACAGAAGGCCTCATTGAGCTCCTTACAGAAGGCCGTATTTAGCTCCTCACAAAAAGCTTGATTGGGCTCGTCACAGAAGGCCTTATGGAGCTCCTTACAGAAGGCCTTATGGAGCTCCTTACAGAAGGCCTTATTCAGCTCCTTACAGAAGGCCTTACTGGGCTTCTCGCAGAAGGCCTTATTGAGCTCCTTGCAGCCGCGAGATTGTGGTTCACCAATAAGAAATTTCATTTGGAAAATTGCCATTTTGGGAGCTCGGGTGCACTTACCCCCATCCCCGAGAGCGCCGTTTTGCATTGGGAGAGGGTTCCAGATGGATTTTCACCCTGGAACAGTTCCGGGGTGAAAATCCGTGTGGGACCTCCCGACGCTGAGCGGGAGAGCTCAGCCGCGAAAAACAAGCTCCCCAATAAGAAATTGCATGTTGAAAATGGCCATCTTGGGAGCTCGGGTACACCTCCCCCCATCCCCGACAGCGCCGTTTTGCATTGGGAGAGGGTCCCAGATGGCTTTTCACCCTGGAACGGTTCTGGGGTGAAAATCCATCTGGTACGGGAGGGCCCGGCCGCGAAAAACAAACTCCCAAATACGACATTTCATGTGGAAAATGACAACTATCCAGGCAAAGCAACAGAACAGCGATGTGTAGGAGCATATCTGGAAGCATTCCCCTTAAGATTCAGATGAGAATCAAGTTGTAGAATTCTGCTGTTCTCGCAGTCGCAGTCACAGCCTCAGCCTCAGCCTGCCTCAGCCTCAGCCTCAGCCTGCCTCAGCCTCAGCCTCAGCCTCAGCAGCCTCAGCCTCAGCCCTCAGCCTCAGCCTCAGCCTCAGCCTGCCTCAGCCTCAGCCTGCATCAGCCTCAGCCTCAGCCTCAGCCTGCCTCAGCCTCAGCCTGCCTCAGCCTCAGCCTCAGCCTGCCTCAGCCTCAGCCTCAGCCTGCTTCAGCCTCAGCCTCAGTCTGCCTTCAGCCTCGGCCTCAGCCTCAGCCTGCCTCAGCCTCAGCCTGCATCAGCCTCAGCCTCAGCCTGCCTTCAGCCTCAGCCTCAGCCTCTGCCTTCAGCCTCAGGCCTCAGCCTCAGCCTGCCTCAGCCTCAGCCTGCATCAGCCTCAGCCTCAGCCTCAGCCTGCCTCAGCATCAGCCTGCCTCAGCCTCAGCCTCAGCCTGCCTCAGCCTCAGCCTCAGCCTGCTTCAGCCTCAGCCTCAGTCTGCCTTCAGCCTCGGCCTCAGCCTCAGCCTGCCTCAGCCTCAGCCTGCATCAGCCAGCCTCAGCCTCAGCCTCAGCCTCAGCCTGCCTCAGCCTCAGCCTCAGCCTGCCTCAGCCTCAGCCTCAGCCTGCTTCAGCCTCAGCCTCAGTCTGCCTTCAGCCTCGGCCTCAGCCTCAGCCTGCCTCAGCCTCAGCCTGCATCAGCCTCAGCCTCAGCCTCAGCCTGCCTCAGCATCAGCCTGCCTCAGCCTCAGCCTCAGCCTGCCTCAGCCTCAGCCTCAGCCTGCCTGCTCAGCCTCAGCCTCAGTCTGCCTTCAGCCTCGGCCTCAGCCTCAGCCTGCCTCAGCCTCAGCCTGCCTCAGCCTCAGCCTCAGCCTCAGCCTCAGCAGCTCAGCAAAAAAGGGAGTGGGCCCGGGAGTGGAGTTCTGGGAACTCGAAGAACACGAAGTGGCCTACAGTTGGCTCCGGGCATTCAAAATCATGCCCAGGAAAGGAGTTCTGGGATTTCGAAGACCACGAAGTGGCCTACAGTTGGCTCCGGGCTTTCAAACTCATGCCCAGAAATGGAGT